TGTTTATTTATTTACAAGTTATTTATTTATTTACTTATTTTTTGGTCTGGTCCAACAGACTTTTACTATCTAATCTTCTCTGCACAATCAGCACAAAAGACAAATAGGTTTTGTGGCTGTATTTTACAATATTTGTTTCATCTTGCTGACGGATGCTGTTTCTTGTGGCGCCATTAATTCCAAGCCCGCTCATCCGCCTTACTTCACAGGTACATACAAATTTTTGCACATGTGGGGTTGAGGCTCTGACACAAGAAATGCACAGGACTCAAGCAATTAGTTTATCATTTTTAAATATTTTGCTCTTGGGGCAATTGAGACATGTTAAATTGACAACAAAAAATGTGTGCCTTTTAAAACTGAATTCACATTGCCACACCATACCCTGGGTTGACCTGCTATGGTAATAGCCTATACCCTGCCCTACCCTGAGGCAGGAAAAGTTGTCAAATGCCCAACAATGCCTGGAAGGAGTGGGTGGGGGAGGGGAGAGTTGAGCAGGCTGGAATTGATGGAACCATTGTTGTTTCAAGTTGTCTTGGTCTTTTTATAAAGAGTTGTAGTTGGCTCTTAGCTAATTGCCAGGTATTTTTAATCGCTTCCAATTTTTTTTCCAACAACCTGATTAGGTTCTCTGCAGATAAGCATCAAAGTGCTGGTAATTGATCACAAGTAATCTTATTGTGCCACCATAGCATTTTTAAAAATACTTCTTAATTTTGCTCCCCCTTTGTACCAACTACATGTAAGATGAGTTGAGATGACTTTGTCTAATGACTTCAACTGTGCCGTTGACTTTCTGATTAAGTATTGAGTATGGTGAGCAGCATGTCACTTCCAGCCAGGATTTACCCAAATGATGGTGAAATGTTTATAGACGAAAATTATGTAGAAAATTGAGATGTATGTTTTCTGTAGTTACTTCTCTTCAGTTCTATGACTTTTGATGATGGATCTTTAACCAAAATGCAAAACCCAAGGGTAATTACATTGTGAATAAATTAAAACAAACTTAATATTTCAAAACTTGCTAGCAAACATTTTCAGATTAATATCACATCTATAAGTTCTAATAAGCAATTACAAAGCATCTTGGAAGCATTTGGTTAACTATGGGTTTTTTTCAGACTCTCTGTGTTTTTACTTGTTCAGTATTATATTTATGAAACCATTAAGACGTTTTGTCAGCTTGGAAATTGTGGACCTCCTCCAGAATAGTTTCCAGATATATCAGCTTTGCTGAAGTCAAAGCCAGGATTCTGCCAAAGAGAAAATGACAAAATGAAAATAAGCAAACAAAGAAAACAGATTTATTTAACAAAATTTGTTGCAAAATTTTAATTAGGGTCAAATATTTGATGACACTATTTTACTTCAAAACCATTATTATTGCAACTTTGAGCTTATTTGTACTCATGACACCTGACTGCTAAACAATATGAAAGGGAGACAAGTGATCACTCTTGCTAGATGTACCTCTTTTTGGAACCTTTCTAAGGTTAACTTCTTTTCCATTTCATTAAATGTCCATGGGTCAGCAGAATATTCACTTGTTAACAGTGAATGCCAGCAGTTAGCTGCATCTCTGCCAGATTTCACCAAAATAATTCGAACAAGCTCATTGTCCTCTGAAACAAACAGAAAAATGGCTGATATCAAAACTACATGTACCCACCAACATCACCTTGAGTGGGAAAACGAACACCTGAATAGACCCTTCCATGGTTTCTGGTAACATCTCGGTTGGGGAGAAAACACAGTAAAATGTGCAGTCAATGTAAGAAGAGTCGGAAGTCTGATGCCCAATAATTTGAGGATGACAAACATTCTGAAAGTTTTAAGAGTTACAAGGGAAAGATACACTGTCACACTTTTTGTCCTTCTGTTGTGAGTTTGAATAATCTCAAACTACACAATTGCAAAACAAGCAGGGGTGAAACCGTAAAAATAAACTAAGTTTGTAAGATTAAAAAATAAGAACGTTACTAAGACAAACCTAAAACCCAGGTGCTTTCATCGGCCAAAACAGTTCCAAAGAGTTCTCCCTATGGAGAAAATCATAAAAAAGATGCGATGAGCTGTTCATCAGAATAATTCGATTACCTCAAGCATTCCTGCTTTTTTATAGACTCCTCGTCACTTTTTGATTTTAAAGCCGAATTTTAAAAAATATTACAATATATTGAATATAAAAGTGATGGAAGTAATGAAGTTGAACTTGAAGGTGAAAATGAAATTACAGACTGAGTCACCTTGAAAAACTCTTGTCCTTTTAAGCAAAATTTTATACCCTTTGGCTTGATATCACAAGAAATTTCCCTTCCTTTAGTTCCTTTTGGTACATTGACCTCTATGAAAACTTCATCAATTGTTTGCGCCCAATTTCCCCAGGAGGTTTTTGAGGGAACAACTCCGCTCTTCTCATCAAAATGATCCGCCATTTTGGAGAATGCCCTCTGATGGTACTTACATGACATAACTTTCTTCCAACCGCAGTTACCGCTGCCCAACATATCAGTTTGTAAATTTCTTGTAATGCGCCTGGGCGCACGTGTGACTGATTATTCTGCCGGTATTATTAAATTTTCTCCCAATTTTTTGAGGTTTGGAGCTCGGCGATACTGCTTTACTGTGGAGGGGATGTCGGTAAGTAGCCTGCATTGGATTAAATGGTTAAAACGCGTTATGTAGTTCGAATTCGATCGCGTGTTTATACCGACTGCTACATTCGCTTATCTTTCACTTTTTGTGGACGATTCTTAACTTCCTCAGCTGTGGTTCACTGCACGCAGAATGCAAATAATTTAATCTGTGGTTTTATAGAAATGAAATAAGACTAAAGAGTGCCAGCATTGGCAGATCGATATCTTGTATTGAATAATTCGTTGTCCAAATTATGTTGATGCCACCCCTGTAGTTCCTGTTGATGCAGTCATTTAATTTGCAGTTGCAAATCTGATGCAATCCTGCATTTATTCCGTGCAATGAGTTGTGAACGCTACTGGGGCCAAAATGATGGTAAATAGGTCATTATTTTATTAAATCAACCCAATTTTTCAGCCGCTCTTTTTACTATCACCTTGTTGTGGTGGAGGATCGAGGGGAAAATATGAATGGGGGCGCCTAGGGAACAGGAGGTGCTACATCCATTGATCGATCATAAGCTAATGGGCAATTGCTTTATCTTTACTGGCCTCTCTACAAGGAAGATACCTAAGTACCAAATCAAGATTTGAGCCGGAACTCATGCTTGGACTCGAACTAGGACTCGAACCAGGACTCGAGCCAGAACTTGAGCTGGGACTTGAACTTGGACTTGAGCCAAGACTCATGCTAGGACTCAAGCCAGGACTCAAACCAGGGCTTGATCCAGGACTCAAGCCAGGACTCGAGCTAGGACTTGAGCCAGGACCTGAGCTAGGACTCGAGCTGGGACTCTTGGGTCTACCATTTTGGTCTCATTTGTAGCTCCCATCACTTATATACCTGCATATAGTACCACTGTGTTTAGACCCTCACACCACACCAGTACCATCTTTATTCTTTGCTTCATCCAGATTTAACTCTTATTGGAATGTGTACCTGTTTTTCCTTTTGTAGGTTGACAGAAAGAGCACAGCTAAGGTTGATTACCTGAAGGAGGTTGAGGCACAGATCCAGAAGAGATGGGCTGATAACAAAACTTTTGAAACAGATTCTGCTCCTGTAAGAATGATTTTGCTTTAACATACATGACTAGGCCAAGTATCTTGTTGCTATTTTTGCATTACAGACTTGAATGTGTTAACTTGATTGATAAATATTGCTAATGGCTATATTTTCTTGACAGCCTGGATCGCCAGATGCTAAGTAAGTACTGAAAGTAATAATTTTATTTTAAGATAATAACTATCATTTATGACTGAATCAATAATTGAATATTTGGGCACTCTCAGTGGTAGAGGAGATACAAACATCATTGACAGCACATGTAATAATGCAAGGAAACAACGTAGGCTCACTGCCATTAAAAGAAGCTTGCCTTATTGTGCCTTCCATTCCTTAAGGTGAATGATCCAGAAGAATAAGAGATCCTTTCTTTGATACACATGCAGCACACTTAAAATAACTTCTCAAAAGGATATAAAGCTGTTAAATTGTGGTGTTTCAATATATATGTAGCTCTTGGAGCCTCTTAATCAGTCTCCTGCCCGCTCCTTTGTAGCATTAGGTTGAATAGGGATCTCAGATGTGCTGGCAAATGAAACATACTTATTTATAATT